TGGAATATTGTCGTACTGGTATTTGTAATGTAAGCTTAGCTGATGAAATGGCTACAGCAGAATCATTTTCATTTGATGATAAGTTAGGTGTAGATTTCTTAGATGAACCGGATTTCTTATTTGATGGCATCGTCGCAAATGAAAAGATTTTCCCAATGGGTGTTCAGACCATGGATGACATGATTGGTGGTGGTGTTCATGAAAACTCATTAGTACTTCTAATGGCACCGACCAATGTTGGTAAGACATTAATGCTTTGCTCAATGGCATCATCAATGCTCTTGGCTGGAAAGAAGGTCCTGTACATTACAATGGAAGACCCTGAATTAAAGATCTACCAGCGTATCGCGCAGAACTTAATGGACTTAACACAAGTACAGCTTAAGACAATGACACGCGAAAACTTCATGCAGAGATTTGAACAGATGAAGCAGCGTTGTCTTGGTGGTAGATTGAAGATTAAGCATTATCCTGAATTCAGTACTAATGCTTTGATGATTAATTCCATGTTAAAGGAATTAAAAGAACGTGAACGTTTTGAACCTGATGTAATCCTTCTTGACTATATTGGTTGTATGATTCCTAATGGTTACAGTAAGGATATGAATGATAATACTCGTCTTACTCAGGTAGCTATGCAGGTCCGCGCAATTGCAACAACTTATCATTTACCTATCGTATCTGCAGCACAGGTTAACCGTGGTGGATATGGCTCTGCTGATGTAGGATTGGATGATGCGGCTGATTCATTCGGTCAGATGACTAAGGCTGATGCAGTCTTTATTATTACAAGACCACCTGAAATGGAGAAGGCTGGTATGTATAAGATATTCCTCGGTAAAACCCGTTATGGTATTACTGGACCGACTATGACTACGATTGGTGTGGATACAGAGAAGCAACGCATTTATGACTTAACACAACAACAAGTAACATTGTTTGAAGAAGAAACATCTGATACATATATGGCGAAGCCTGATGATGGACCAGACATTAATGACTTTATTTAGGAGACATGATGGAAGAAGAAATACAATTAGTAGAACCAGTCAAAGTGGCTGAAGGTAGCTTAGAATTCTCCGACGATAGATCAAAGTTTGAAACTAAGGAACAGCTTTATAATTATTTTAAGGCGAATGGTTTTGACATGGAAGATATCGATCAGGATACAAAGTTGCCACGATTCTTAATGAAAGTGATTAAGAATGAAACTGTGGAATATAACAAGTTCAATAATATTTTATACAAACTTAATAAAGAAAACAAAATAAATATTATCGACAGTATGGCATATCTTGTTGAAGACTGGCTGGAACCAAACTTCGCCTTGAAATGCCTGGATGAAATGAACTATTATTCCTTAATGAATTCTTTGAAACAAAAACATAACTTAAACCATAGGCAGGATCTTAGCGAGTTCTTCGCTTAAATTATGTACTACGATAAATATCAAGTTTATACACTGTGGAAACGACTTAATAAAATATGGGGTATGAAGAGATTCAACACTGTAACTACCACAGAACTACTGGAAACAGACTTAGACGATTTATTGATTAACGTGTTTATTGCAGACAATCCGCGAGTCGAATACATGTCTAACTATGCTATTAACATAGTGAATGAGATTCGATGCGGAATAGTGTCACTACGGAACTGGGCTATCATGGTGATAGCTAAGGCAATGTATGAAGGGAAATTCCCAACTTTAAAGGACTGTTCCAAGACATCAACCTTAAAACAATTTGCTATATTTAATAACAGAGAAGAAGTTGATGGCCAGATAAAGTTGATTAATGCATTGACTGCACAGACGAATTCCGGACTTAATGAATTCTCGAACAAAAAATTCACATTGTATGAATTAGATGAGAATAAAGAAAACAATGCCTATAAACTTTTTAAAGAACGAAAGATTTCTCCGATATTCTTTATTAAAGGCTTAGGCGCTCATAAATTCGAAATTAATGAAAACGATGTGAAAGAATACGAATATAAAAGATTCATTATTTTTTCAAAAATTATTTTAAAACTATACTCAGAGGTAAAGAATGCCAATTAAAAGAAATCTTGACAGCTTGATTGCATCATCAACTGTAAACACCAACGTTAACGGCCAGCAGGCTAATACTAATTTTGATATCGAAGGTTTGTTCAAGCCAACCTATGATAAGAATGGTTGCTTTGAAATCACTCTTCGATTCCTTCCGCCTGTAGCATCTGAAGATATGCAGTATATTGAAAACCGCGCTCACTGGTTGAAGCAGGTTAGCGGTAAGTCTATTGCTATTGACTGCTTGAAGCGTTGGAAGGCACCGGGTTCTAACAAGGGTAATCCGTGTCCGATTTGTGATTACAACTCCAAGATGTTCGACAAGTACGGTCAGATTAAAGGTGAATACGCAAAGCATAAGCTTGCTTCCGCTCGTCCGGAATATATGTGTAACATTTTGATTGTTCGTAATGACAATGCTCCTACTACTGAAGGTCAGGTCTTCCGCTTCAAGTACAGTAAGCTGATTAAGGACATGCTTGATAAGGCTGTTAATGGTACTGGCGAAACCGATGAAAACGGTGATGTAATTCCTGGTATCAATCCGTATTCCTATTGGGGACCGCAGGATGCTGATGTCATTTCTGGTGAAGTCCGTGCCGGTGCTAACTTCGTATGGAAGGCAAAGCCGGGTGAATATGGTCCTAACTATGAAGACTCTCACTTCAACAAGCCTTCTCGTATTGCTAAGTGCGTTGACGGCGTAAACTCTATGGGTCAGCCTTGTAAGAAGTTCCAGCCGCTCACCGATGCAGAAATCGATGTTATCGAATCTCAGGTCTATACCTTGAAGGAACATGAAACCAAGCAGGAATCCGCTCGTTCTTATAACGATACTATCAAGTATGTTAAGGACAAGTGTGGTATTGATCTCGGTCTCACTCTCGGTGTTAAGACTGAATCAATCGAATCCGAATACTTGAAGACTGCTGTTGCACAGACCGTCAATACTGTTGAAGTAGATGATGACGAAATGTTTGCTGGTACTCCGCTTGAAACTAAGAAGCCTGCTGCTCCTGCAGTTCAGTTCGCTAATTTTGATGAACCGGCTCCTGCACCTAAGCCAGCACCTGCTCCGGCTCCGAAGCCTGCAGCACAGCCTGTTATGGCTGAAGATGAAGATGACTTCTTCCTTCGTCTTGGCCAGTCACAAGAATAACTCTATCTAAAAAAGTCAAAATAAAATAAGGCAAGTGATGATGAGTCACTTGCTTTTTTTCTATATTTGATATAGTATGAATTATAATAACCCTGAATTACGTGTTCTTAATGTAACACATGCTGATATGGATGGTATTGCTAGCACCATCGTGTTGAAGAATTTTTATAAGAAAGTTATTACTGTTCCAGTAACATATCAATCTGAGAAGGCTATTGAAGAAGCACTCAAGAAGAATGCGGGACAGTTTGATGTAATTATCTGTACGGATTTCTATCCGGCTAACACAATTAATACTATTCGTAATACTGCACCGTTCTTGGTTCTAGACCATCATGAAACAGTACAGCAGTATAATGACAATCAGACAATAATCATCAATACAAGTATGTGTGGTGCAAAGCTCACATATAATTTCGTCAATCATTACAAGGATATTTCCCATTTGAAGGAATTCATTGATATCGTGAATGACTGGGATATGTTTATCCTGGCCGATGTTCGTTCTCGATTCTTTAATAACATCTATTGGGAAATGGGAGCTAAGTGGTTTGCACGAAGATTCTTGTCTGGCAACTGTACACTGTATCCTGAAGAGAAACAGTATCTACTTGATGCTCAAGCAGAATTCAAAGACATGTATGATAACATGGAGATCAGTGATCTTATGGATGACGGCGTGTTCTTTGAGACTGATCGTTTTATGAATGAATGTGTCGAAGCATTGAAGAAAGATGGCTATAAATGGTTTGTTATTAAAAACAAGAATTCGCTGTCTGTACGAGCAGACCATGTAGATTTGACGAAAGTGTTCAGTATCCTTGGCCAAGGTGGTGGACATGTACATGCTGGTGGAATTCCTATTCGGTACAACCAGGATGTTGGAGTATTATTAAACGATTTGCAGAATGCATATGACGCGGTATATTCAAACGATTAAAAATCAATTTGACAACAAGATGCGTGGATTAGCATGGAATAAGACTGTTGCTAATAATTTTATTCAGTCTATCCAGAATCCCGTAATTGTTGAGTCCAAGGCTAATATCCCTCAATGGAAGTTTTGTTCTGTTAAGGGAGAAAAGCGTTGTACAGAAAATATGGGCTCTACTGATATATTAATCCTTGACTACGATTCTACGGAATATAATATGGAAACGTTTATGAATCGATTCAGGGAATATCGTTATATTCTTCATACGAGCTACTCTTATGATGGGACTAATCAAAAGTTTCGTGTTCTACTGTTCTTGGATAAGGAATACGAGATTAATAGATTTTTCTTCAAAGGCTCGCAAAAACAGTATAGCCCATATTTTTACTTAATTGACTATTTTGATCACGTTGACCCCGCATCTTTTGTACGTGCACAGTTTTTCAAAGTCCCGGCCATTAGTCGAGCCGGAGCGCCGTATGTTTATCATATAAACAATGGCAAGTTGTTTAATCCATTTCAGGAGATTGATTTCTTTGAAACTGCGTATGAAGAATGTGAAATGCGTCAAGCAATATACTTAAGAGATCTTGAACAAGACTATATGAAGTCACGTACAAGAAATAATGGTGACTTAACAAAAGCGAAATTATATGTGGAAAAAGCTATCGAATCTGCTGCAGAAGGTACTAGACATAATGTTATCTTTAGCCTGGCATGTTGGTTTAAACATATAGGTGGTTCCTTAACTGATTTTGAAAAGATTATGCCGTCATGGTCAGATAAAGAATACACTAAACAAATTAACCACATTCGCAGAGAATGGGCGACATTGAAATAAGGAAATATACTTAATGGATATTAATATAGAATTATGGCAAGCATTTGATGATATTTTCTTTGAAGAAGATGTACATCGTTATACAGACTCGGTCGGGACAAAGTATACATCAGTTACTACATTTGTCGGCCAGTTTGAATCAGATAAAGATTGGGATTTAATTGCAGAGAAGTGTCTTAAGAAACCTGAAAACTTCGGTAAGACTGTAGAATCACTTAGAGCCGAATGGAAAGCTAAGGGCGACTATGCATGTGTTCTTGGTACAGCTGTTCACAGTGTCATGGAATATGCATGGGCTAAGAAAGACTTTAAACCAGATCCTAAAATCTTTGAACAGTATGAAGGTATGGAAGAAGACTTCACCTGGCGAAAGAAGAAGGCTAATGAACTGTTTAAGAAGCTTAAAGAAATCTATGTTCCTATTAGAAATGAATTTATTGTGTATGATCGAGACTGGGGTCTCTGTGGTACAATCGACTTCCTTTGTTGGAACAAGGTGAAACAGTGTTACAGTATCCTTGACTGGAAGACATCTAAGAAGTTTGATCAGCATAATCGCTACCAGAAGATGAAAGCACCGTTTGAAGAAGAAGATGACTGTAACTGTAATCATTATTCCATGCAGCTTTCAATCTACCAGGCTATCTTAGAGAAACATTGTCCGGACATTAAGATCGGTGAAAGAATTTTGGTTCAGATTCCTTCTAAAGAAACCAGTAAGTCTGAAATCTATTCTTGTAAGGACTATACAAAGAAAATCCTAGATTATTTCGATAATAAGAAGTCTGCAAAATAAAATTTACTATATTTGATTAAAACAAAAAGGATGTACTATGAATTATAATAAAGACTTAATTGAATTGATTTCAGACCTTTCAGTAATCCAGCCGCAGTTGATCTTCGAAGACAATGGCGACCAGACCTTTACTGTTAAGGCTAACGATAAGGATGTTACTACATGTTTCATTCTCAATGCACCCAAGGCAGACTTTGACTTCCCTGGCCAGAAGATTGCTTTCTATGACTATACCAAGTTCAAGAAGTATTTCAATATCTTCGATAAGCCTGCAAAGGACCCGGCAGTATCAAATACTCCGAAACTCGACATTGATACTACTGCACAGGGCGCAGGTTACATGTTGAAGGTATCATCTAGCATCGACGCTCGCTGTTTTAACAATAAGCTCGGTGATCCTACAGTAGTTGCACAGCCACAGTTTAATAAGATTGTTTTCCCGTCTGTAGATGCAGAACTCACATTGTCTGCGGCAGACATTGCGGATTTGCAGTCCATGGTGTCCACTGTTGCTGCTGATAACATTCAGTTCAGCTGTGCAGACTCAACTTGCCGTGTTACTCTTCGTAATAACTTTAGTGGTGATACATATAGCTCTGAATATGCATTGGCTCAGCCGATTCAGGTTCCGTTCGAGATTAATACACCGAAAACTGGCGTTATGGCTCTTCCGTCCGAATCCTATACTGTTAAATTCTGTTCCCGTGGCTTAATTGAATTGACACAGCTTCGTGAAGATGACATTAAACTCACAATCTATCTAACAAGGAAGAAGTAATGAAGGATACAGATTTTTTACCAAAGAAAGATGGCCAGGTAGATTTACGTTCAATGGATCCATGGCGAGTCATTAAAGAATCCGCTAATGCAATGGGAATCATTGTATATGATCCAAAGCTTAACTGTAAGAAATGTCATGGCCGAGGCTACATTGGTAGGCATCACGACACTGGTGAACCAATCCCGTGTACATGTATCTTCCCGCCTTCTGAACGTGAAGTTGGCGAAGTAACATTGAAACCACGTAATCGAGCAGAACGTAGAGCTCAGAAGAAAAAAGCTTAATAAAACTTTTTCATGACTCCTTCAGGAGGAAAGTCGAAAGATTTTCCTCCTGTTTTATAAATACAATAATAAAAGGACAGATGGTATTGAATCTCACCATTTGGGAAGATAAAAATCAATATTGTGATATATTAGGTATTAAACTTTTACGTATTGCAGAATATGATTGGGAAAATAATACCGATGTAATAAAAAACCAAATAAAACTATTTCTTGGTTTAATGTAAATATATTATTTTTCTATCTTTTAATTTAAATTAAAGGAGTTATAATATATGACAAATAATACAAAAAATCCAGAAGTTTACATATGGGAACATCGCTATCGACCACAGAGAATCAAGGATATGATTCTCCCAACTGATTACAAGAATTTCTTTAATAAAATTATTACTGACAATGCTGGTGTAAACCTCTTACTTGAATCCAGTACTCCTGGTACAGGTAAGACTTCTGTAGCACAGGCTCTGGCTAATGACCTCGGATGTACATTCTTGAAGATTAATGCTTCTGCACAAGGTGGCATCGATATGATTCGTGACCGTTGTGTAGAATTCGCCCAGACCATGAGCTTTGATGGTTCTCCTAAGATGATTCTTCTAGACGAAGCTGATAGATTGTCAATGGATGCACAGCAGTCTCTCCGTGGGATTATGGATGACCTTTCCGATAACTGCAGATTCATTATGACTTGCAATTACGTTAATAAAATCATCGATGCCCTGCAGGGCGAAGAAGGTGGTCGTACTATTACTTTGAAGTTTGAAATGCATAAACCTGAATATAAGGCTGAGATGATACCGCAGATTTTGAAGCGTATTACAGGTATTCTGAAGTTCGAAGGCATCGAGTATGATGAAGATGCTGTAAAGAAATTAATTGAAATCAAGTATCCTTCTATCCGTACGGTCATCGCGAAACTTCAGGGTTACGCCATGATGAAGGGCAGGATTGATGCCGATATCATTACTGCAGTTAACATCGGTGATAAGCTCGCTGACTATATCCTCTCAGAGAAACTCGATGTAATTATGAATTATATCCACGAAAATAGCCTAAGCTACGCCGACGTATTTAGTTTCTGCAAGACCAATGTAATCCCGAGACTAAAGAATAAGGTGAAGGCATATCTTGATTTGTCTGAATATAACTACAGAGCAGCCTTTAGTTCTGACCCGGATATCGAAATTATTGCCCTCGTAATATCCCTAAAGAAGTGTATTTAAGGAGAAAATACAGATGTTAGAATCCCAAAAGTTAAGTTTCCAGCAGTTTATGCTGGGTTATAAGCATGGCGTTTATGTATTAACTACAGACTCCTGCGAAATCTGTCATAAGTATAAACAGTCTATCGAATACATTAATAATGGTAATTTATACTTTGTTGATGTAATTACAGCTGAAGATAGAGATTATGCATTCCGTCTTACCCAGCGTGGTTCATTCCCACTTACTGTAGTATTCTGGGATAATCAAATTGAATATGTTCGCCTTGGCCAGTTATTTGAATTACAATTAGAAGAAATCTTTGCTTCTCTTAAGAAGTTTGGTGACAAACCTCTTACCAAAGACGAACAAGAACGTAGAATGCAAGCTATCAAGAATCGTTGTGAACTGTCGTATTATGTCTTCCCACCCGAATTAGACCCGACTATTCGTGAACAACTAATGTATACTGCTATTAAACATAATGAACTTCCTATCGACATAGAAGCTCTATGTCCTAACCTAGAAGCAAATGAACGTTATAGACTATTTGAAGGCCATATGCCATTCTCTAAACTCGTTATCTTTAGAGATAAGAATACTAATACATATTCTGGATTTTCTCAAAGAATCATTACCGGTTATTCTGCTAAGGTTAAGGATGCCAAGTTTATTATTAGACAGATTGAGGATGAATTAAATGCTTCAAATAATTCCAATTGATAAACGTAAACCCGGCCAGGTTGATACAGATACTGTAAAGTATATAGAAAACAACGGCCCTAAGGATTCTATGACAGCTAAATATAACCGAGCAATAGAATCCTACGTAATGAATTCTAATCACGATGTTATCTGTTTCCGCCATGATGACACAGAAATCAGAACACCACTAGATTCTTGCGAATATAAGATTCGTAAACTCACAGAAGACCATCAGATCGCGGTAGTCGGTGTCATAGGAACAATCGCTTTAGATAGAACTTGCTCCTGGTGGACTGGTGTAAAGAATGCCGGCGGCAGAGATACCTATGGCTCGGGTTCTATTATCCAAGGCGGTATGAGACCAAAAATTGTCGACGGCCGCCCGCTTGCTAATGAAAACGGCGACTATGTAATGGAAAAATACGAATACCCCATGAAAGACCATCCAGGTTGTCATAGTTACCTGGCAACTGTAGATGGATGCTGTATGTGGTTCCCTAAGTGGTTCTTCGATGAAGGTTTTAGATTCGATGAAAATATTCAGAATTTCCATTTCTATGATGCAGATATCTGTCTTCAAGCCCTGGCCGCAGGCTATAAGGTTTCTACATGTGATCTAGTAGTAAAACATGATTCTCCCGGCGGAATTCCTCCCATCTGGGAACAACTGAGACAGAATTTCTATAACAAATGGAATGCAGCTGTCGGCGGCGAATGGCCTATATCTAGACTCTCTAAGTTCGATATGTCCAGAATCAAAGTTAATCAAAATGCTCTAAAGGAACGTTTAAATGGCTCAGTCAAAACCAAAGAAAACTAATCCCCTATTTGAAATCCTTAATGCAATTTCGTCAAAGCAATACTCATGGTCAGAATTGTCCGACGACGCCAGGAATAAATACTCCCAGTTCATGATTAATAGATTTCTATGCTCTTATGACTATCTAATTCCCCTGGCCGAACAACTCTCTACCCAGAAAATGGATAATGAATCCCATTATAACATCCTTCTGGAATACGTCCAACATACCAAACACTACTTCAATTATAACCTATGGAAAGGCCAGGAAGATATAGATCCTATGTTACTTAATGCTATCATGAAGCAATATAACGTAGGCCAGGTCGAAGCCAAAAGATATAATTCCTACCTAAATGAAACCCAAAGGAATTCTATCCTAGATAAATGGCGCGACTACCTAACCATGACTCAAAATCCTTAATAGATTATAATTTTTAAATCCCGACCTGACCCGGCCGGGTTTCTTTTTTATAATCTAAACCTTAAAAGAAAATCCAGAATTATACTTAATAGATTTCTATTATTAAATCCCGGCCAGGTTGGGCTTTGGCGCGGAAAAATCAGAATTAATAGATGGGACTATGGTTGGGATTTTATGCAGCGGCACCTTTGTAGAAAAAATTTTACGAAAAAAATTTTTTGCGTAAAAAATTTTTTACAATTAAGATCAAGGTTTTTTGGCGGGCCGGGTTTCGGATATTTTGAGATAAAGATAAAGGCCGGGTTTCGGATATATTGAGATAGATATAAGGGCCAGGTTTCGGATATTTTGAGATAAAGATAAAGGCCGGGTTTCGATGATATTGGGTCCTTATATGTTAATAAAATGTTGACATATAGGTGGATAAGAAAGTTGATATTTTTGTATATAGTCTTAATAGATTTTCGAATGAAAATTCTGTATATTTTGGTATATAAAAGTATATTAGCCTGGCCGGGTGAAAATATATAGAAAATGCTTAAATTTTAAGAATTTTAAAGAAAATGGTAATAAAATAATATGGAGATATACGGAATATATAATAGATTTCGGGTAAAAATTGGTTGTTTATATAGTGTTTATAATATGGTTATAAATGGGTAAAAAAGCTTAATAGATTTTGGAAAAAGGGGGTATAATTGTATATTCGAAATATTATATATTGACGATAACTGGTATAATTGCTATATTGTATTATATGACGAAGATATTAATACGGTTATTGTTGGGTCGAGTTATATGGAAGAAGTTTAGAAGGCCTGGTGAGACTGATGAATGGTTGGAGAGTCGAATAAGGCGAGAGTTAGCGTTATTTACAGCATGGCATGAGAATACTGAAAGTTTTATTGATTTACGTGACCTATAGGAGTAAGGATTATGTAAAGGAAGAGTCAGCATTTAAAATAAGGGTATATTTGCATAATCTTTATATAGACGAATTGATTGAGTAGATGTGAGATATAATATGGATAAGATATATTGGTATAATGGTTTTTCAGGTATAGCGGAAAAGTCGAATATTATTATTGACCGGATAGAAAGGATAGAAACAGAAGATTTGGAACCTGGACTATGACATAACGTCTATAAAGTACATTATAATACGAAGGGTAATCTGGGAGAGTTCACAATGTGGATTGGAAAAAAGGGAACTGGTATAGAGTTAAGCGGGGCCGAGCGTTATATTATAGATGATAGTGGTGAATTGGATATTATTGGAATTAAGAAGTATTTGTATAATAGGGAAATGTCAGAAGTAATCGATAACCTATAGGATATATTATGAGGAAGAAAAAGAAGATTTACGATAGGATATACTGGCAGGGTTATCATAAAGTTATAGTAATGGAGAAGGTAGTTATATGTCGGATAGAAGAAGAACCGGTAAGTAATGGTAATAATTATAAGGTATATTATAATGTAAATGACGATGGAAAGGTAAAAGAATCGTGGATAAGGGTTGGTGCTGAAGGAACTGGAATAAAGCTTGGAAAGTTCAGGCGTTATATGGTAGACCGTA